AATATAACAAATAACACAGCCAATATTTTAGAAAATTTAAGCTCATAATCTTGTGCAGGCTAAGTTTTAGATCCCACAAACCTCTCTAGCTTAGCTAAAAAGAGATAATAAATCCCAGACTAGGATGATAGTAATAGAGTCAGATATTCAAAAATAAATCAGAGATTCAAAGGCAGAATCCATCAACAAGATTTGTTGTGATAGATTGAATATAGATTATATTCAGGAAGCTAGTCTAATCTTTTAAGCCTAGTTTCCTGGCATTCATTTAAAGGTACTATTTAAAACTTCTCTTTCTGGTAATATGGCAGACTTGGTACCTGGACCAGTCCTCCAGGTGAAAATAACTTAAAATGCTGGATTAATTTGCTGGAAAGAAAATATGGAAGGCTGAAGCCAAAAACTAAATGAAGGCAGGAATTCAGAGAATTAAGAGCAGTAACGAAAATATTAGCTTTGAGGGCATTTGCTGAATCAATTTTTATGGCTTTGTAGCTTTATGAGGCTCAGAAGTCAGGAGACAAATCCTAGATTCTAATTGGAAAATCTAGTTTAAATCCCTTCCCTTTCCCACCAATAAATTTGGGATTCCAAAGGGACTATACATTTAGTATTAAGGTGACCAGGAAATATGCTCATCTCCCTTTCCAGGGGGATCTGCAAGGAAAATTGCTTCTCTCAAACATTAATCTTGTCTCCATTGGAAATTCATAACTCTAAGCTGGCCTTCACCTGAGTTTGAAACCCAAATTCATATCAATTGAGTGTTTATAAAACCTCAAGCTGAGAACTTATTTCAAGTGGTTCTGAAATGGTAGTGGCCCTCAGATACTTGAGAAAAGGTAACACAGATCCTGTCTGGAAGAACTGATCTTTATTCCAGACCTCTTGAAATTTCCACAGATTAAGTTCTAAGGAAAATAAGCAGTTTACAATAAAAAAGTCACAGAACTCACCAGAAAACAAGATTCATCAAATAAAAGCCAACAGGAATGATGGTGAACAGAATCTGACCTAAAGATACTTCAGATATAGAAATTATCACATGCAGACTAAAATGTTTAATATGTTTAAAAAATAAAATAGGCTTAAAAATATGAAGAGCAGGTCAGGTGCAGTGGCTCACACCTGTAATCCCAGCATTTTGGGAGGCTGAGGTGAGTGGATCACCTGACATCAGGATTTCAAGACCAGCCCGGCTAACATGATGAAACCCCGTCTCTACGAAAAATACAAAAAAATTTTATTTTTCTATTTTAATACAAAAATTAAAATGGTGGTGGTACACACTTGTAATCCCAGCCACTCAGGAGGCTGAAGCAGGAGAATCACTTGAAACCGGGAGGCAGAGATTGCAGTGAGCCAAGATCATGCCATTTGCACTCCAGCCTGGGCAACAAGAACGAAACTCTGTCTCAAAAAAAAAAAAAAAAAAAAAAGAAGAGCAAGCAAGAATCAAAGAGAATTTCCGGAACAGTATAATTGAAATACAAACACAATGGTGTTATAGTAGATTAGGTACAGCAAATAAAGTTAGTAAATTGGAAGATAGAACTAAAAAATTATATGGAAAAGAAACACAGAGTGACATGAGGCTGAAAGATAGTTTAGGAGACAGGAAGGATAGAGTAAGAAAATCCTCTCTAATTGGAGTTCTAGAAGAAAAAGAAATAGTATGGGCAAGAGAAGTGTTTAAAGAAGCCCTATAAATATCCAGCAGGATTAAAAGAAAAAAAAATCCACATATTATAGACAAACATCACGGTCAAAGATCTTAAAAGTAGTCAGGAAAAAAGGCATTGCCGTCAAAGAAGACCAACAACTGATTTCCCATTAGTAATAGAGGAAGCTAGAAGACAGTAGAATCATGCCTAAATGGTTCCGAAAGAAAGTAACTATTAACCTAGAGTTTTATATCCAGCAAAAATGTGTTTCGAGAAAGAGGCAAAATTAAGCTATTTCCAGACAGCTGAAACAGAATTGCCATTAGTGGACCCTTTCTAGCAGTTCTCTCAAAAAGATTCTGAAAGATCTACTTCAGACAGAAAATTATTTGAGATGCAAGAGAATGTGAAAATAAAAAGTGGGTAAATTCAGATACAGATGTTAAAACAATAATAATATATTACTGGATTTTTTTAAAAGAATTAAAATATAGCAGCAATAGCATATATGTTTGGAAAGGAGTTTGAAGAAATTGAAGCATATGGTGTGTTAGGTCCTTTTAATGTAAAGACCCATATCCAGAGGTGATTAGGAATCCAGACTGAAGATGAGAAGAATCATCATGCTCACAGTCAACTTTGCAGTAACCCTTGAACCTTGGAGTGAGTGAAAGCTCCATAGAGAAAAAGTGTAAAAAGAATAGAGAGCTGGGTTCTGAAAGAGAATAGAATCTTTGAGAATCTAATAGAATCTAAAATAATCTATTCTTTAAAAAAAAAAAAATAGCTGAGTTTCTTTAGGGAGCTGGAAAAGAAGGAGCCAGATACCAATCTGAAATTGATCAAAATAGAATGAGATATTCCAGAAACAGCTTCCTCTCACTAGCAATGTTCAAGTAAAGACTTACTGGATCCATCATGTGAAGGGACATAAGATTGGATGCAACCGAAAGGAGGTTTGATGATCTCCCTTCCAATTCTGTAGTTCTCTTATTCTGATGAATACCTAAGAAATAATATATCCTTCAGTACTTAAGAGTACTTCTTTTGAGGATCACACTTGACTGATGGGGGTTCACCAAACCCTGGCCTGTAGGAGCTACCCAAATCAAGCATTAGCTTGGTAACTCCTTTATGAGCATGTTCAAGTATCATGGGCATTCTCAGTTCTAGCTTCTCTGCATTTTCACAGGCTTTGTCCTTTGGTCCACCTTAAAGTATTAGTTAGGGCACATGGGTTCATAAATGTGTGAAGCTAGAACCAGAGATAATATTCAGAATACTCAGTAGCTGGAGTTACATAGGCACCAATAGTCAGAACAGATACTGACTGTAAACTATAGGTATAGCCATACTTTTGCACATTGGCTGATTAGAACTAAAGTAAAAATGAATTCATGTTTAAAGTAAAAATAAATTCATACAGTGTAGATTCTTTATGCATAGTCTTTGTTCACAGGTTGGCCATGAACATTTTCTTCTAGCCACCAAAATCATGATTTAAAAATCTTTTTGGTTATTGATGATTATTTTTTTCCTTGAATGTCAGAATAAGCTTCATTAAGATAATATAAGGCTGATGAATTCCCAGAGACTAGCAATGGCTATAAAATGATGAGATAAATTTTAGCTTGAGGTTTGTAAATCCATTTTATACCTTTCTTTTTTGGAGATGGAGTTTCACTCTTGTTGCCCAGGCTGGAGTGCAATGGCATGATCTCGGCTCATTGCAACCTCCACCTCCCAGGTTCACGCGATTCTCCTGCCTCAGCCTCCCAAGTAGCTGGGATTATAGGCATAAGCCACCGTGCCTGGCTCATTTTGTATTTTTAGTTGAGACAGGGTTTCTCCATGTTGGTCAGGCTGGTCTCGAACTCCCAACCTCAGGTGATCCACCTGCCTCAGTCTCCCAAAGTGCTGGGATTATAGGCATGAGCCACTGCTCCCAGCCATTTTATACCTTTAATGGCAGACCTCACCTGCCATTCTGTTAACGTAATGACAGTAAGTATAAATGCTTTTCCATTTGTTGTGTGAGCCACTGAAGTACAATGCTACAAATTTACCATCATACTTTTTATGTTTTTTTACTTGTTTCTTCCCTTCTTCACAGATTCTTCTCTAGGCTTTTCTTTATATTTTCAGACATGTCATTTTCATGTCTCTCCTTTCTTTGCTAGCTTTCTTCAGTATACTTTTTTGATATTATTAAGGAAGGTAAGAAACTATGAAGGAAAGTCAGTAAGAGGTATTTCTGTGAGAACATTTTTTTTAGCCTTAAGGCAGTTGTTTTAAACTAAACAGTTGCCAGTACAACTAAAGTATTGTTCTGCCGTGAAGTGCTGGTTCTATGCGAATGCTAAAATTGAGACTGAGGATATTAAGAAGGCTCTAGAATCACAAAAACAAAGTTAGCCTTGTGAGTTCCAAGCACTGTTCTGTCAGCCCCACCTATCAGTACACAGCTAAGTGTATAGAAGGGTGCAGATATGTGTTAAATTTTATTTTTGGCATGTTCACATGGTTCACAATTCAAAATGCTATACAATGAATTATCTTTCCCACAGCCATCCAGTTCCTAAAGTTACTAGAGATATTTTCTGCATATAAATGTAAATATATATGTATATATAGTCCTCCTCTACCCCGCTTTACCACAAATGATAGCTTACTATACACTTGGTTCTGCCCCTGGATGGCAGTGTTTGGTGTATATTTATGTATGCCTACCCAGACTGTATAGTGTTTCCTTAGGAAATGTCACAGTAAAATGTTCTGCTTAAAGATTTCTGTATATCCATTAATTTTATTTTGTTTCTTTTTCTTTCAAATTAACTTTGATTCTAGATTTACTACCAGAAGCATAAAGGAAAAGGGATGAAAAAAATAGCCCAATTTAGAGATAAGAGGAGGAGGGATATCAGGACCAACAGGATTCTCTGGACAGCTAGAAGTTTCCTAAGCTTCATTGTGATTGGATCTGTGCTGCAGTGCTTCTAAGAATAGAGGAGACCATCTGGTTGTGGCAGATAACAGCCTAGGTTGTGGACAGTTTTGTTCCTTGACTGGTCAGCTTTTAGGGATTTTAACAAAAGGAGCCGTGTGATACTTTGCCCCAGCAAAGCCCTCAGGACCTAAAAGTAAAGCATCTTTTAGTTTATGCTGAGGCAACTTCTGGAATTGCCAGGATGTAGTAAATAGAAGACTGTCAATGGGAGGCTTTATAAATGGTAAAAAGCTATACAGGTATACTGTATCAGAGTAGATTTGAGCCGTTACCTGCAGCTGATGAGCTCCAAAAAGAGCGAAACCTATTAGGTCCTGCAGTACTGGCTTAAGATAGTATAAAACCTTGTGTGTTGTTTTGGTTTGTAATATTTGTTTTGTAGTTTGGGGAAGGGAGCAACTATCTAGTCTCCTTGCTACTAGTGTATTTCCTTTTCCAGTTCATTCTTCTCAGAAGTCACCTGAATGAGATAATTCCAAAAGGGAAATTTGATCAAATCAGATTAGATTGTGACCTGGTCTAATCTTAAGTGGCCAAGGTTTTCCCCTTAAGCAATCTCATCTCCCATAGATTTAATTGTCCCTATATGCTGACAACTTCAGAATCTTCATTGCTAACCTCTTTTTCTGAGCTCCTGAACACTATTGGATACATATACTTTTAATGTTCCCTTGGAACAGCAAACAATTAAACCAAAATTGATTGATATCAAATCAACCAAATTGGTTATTACTTTCTCTACCTTTTTTACCTCCCTTTCCCTCCCTTCCACCCCTAAACAGCACCATACACACCCACAGACAGACGCACACACACACACCCATACACACACATTCCAAAACAAAACTTTTATTGTTCTTACATTTCTTGCTTGGTTGTACCAATACAGTCCTTCTAGGTACATCAACTTAAATGCCTCAGAGGTATTGTCTACTCTTTCCTCTTTCTCATCATCTCCCACAAATTACTGGCTCTCAAGCCTAAAGGGTTACCTTCTAAATATACCTTAAATCAGTCTCCCTTCCAGATCCTCAAATATTGCCTTAGCTTATACTGCCACTTTTCTGGATGACTACAATAGCTACCAAACTAGTTTTCCTGTGTCTGATTTCTCCTCTTACCCACTATATCCACTTCTAGATTCATCCAAATTTGATCACATTACTACCTTCCTTAAACCCTTCAGTTGCTCCCCTGTAGAACACAGCTCATGCTCCTCGGCCCAGCATCCCAAGCTTTTCTCAGACTAGCTCCTGGTTCTTCTCTCTGTTAAACCTCAGCAGCATGCTACTGATAATTTCCCAGATTGACCCTGTTGTTTTATATGTTAGTTGTAGTTGTACAAATTGTTTGTTCTACCTGAAGCTCCTTCTTCTGTATCCATCCGAACATACCCCCATCCAGTAGTATATTGGAGCTGACAATACCAGCTCCCTACCAGCAAGGGAGTACTGCTTGTTAAATATTCAGTAATTTTGCAAGCCAGCTTGTAACTTAAAATCAGCCATGAGTATATAGGTACTTGCACTGTGAACATCAGCAAATACACATCCAGATTTTCTCTACAACTACCCCCCACAAAAAAAACTGGTCCCAGAGCCTCACTACCCCTATTCAACTTGAGTAACCTTTGCCTTAAATCCTGCTTTAAATGGTACCTCTTTAAAGCCTTTCCTGCCTGTTCTTCTCTCCACACACATAAACTTGATCACTACTTCTAAGCCGTTTGCATGCTTTATTATAGCATTTGTCGTTCTATAGTATAACTCTATATTTACATGTCTCTTTTTAATACTAACACCTGAGTTTCTGGGACAGAGTTCATATAATTATCTTTGTCATTCATTCACTTAACATTCATTGAACTGCACACTGAACCGATATATTTACTATGTACCAGGCACTGTTTTCAGGGTACAAAAATGAAAGGATTTAGCCACTGTCTGCAAGAAGCTCATAGTCCATGGGAGGAGAGAAATTCAAATAGTCCATTACAATACAGTGAGACAAGTACATTGCTAGAAGTCTGTACAAGATATATTGGAGTCTGGAGGAAAAAACTCTGCCTAGGGAAATGGGAAAGTCCTCACAGAGCAGGTAAGACTTAAAGGGTGAGCAGAAAGCTGTTGTCTATAATAAAGTGCTACAGTCAGTACTTTTATAAATAGAAAAATTTTATAGACTTTTTCCCACTCTGGAGAACAGAATTATTCAAGGTTCTTTGCTACACAGTATATCAGCTTTATGTGGAAACCCTGTGTAAATATTTTACACTCTTGAAATGAGTGGAGAAAGTGCTCATTCTCTACTGTACTGTGGGGAATGTTTACATTCTGAGTGCTATTATCCTAATAATATTGTATAGTAAACCATCCCAAAACTCCATAGCTTAAAACAGTAACAATTTATTATTTCTCACAAATATAAGGGATTGCTAGGCAGTTCTGCTCTGGCCAGGCTTAGCTGATTCCAGCTGGGTGCACTCATCCGTCTCCAATCAGTTTGCAGGTCAGCCTGGGGATGGCTGCTTTAGAATGCCCTTGGCTAAGTCAGCTCAGGTCTTCTCCATGTCTTTCCCATCCCTCTAGCAGACTAGCTCAGGCACGTTCCCGTGGCGGTGGCAGGAGTTCAAGAGCGAAAGTAGAAGCATGCAAGTGTAGTTCAGGCAGCTGCTTGCTTCAAGCTTGCTAGTGTCCACTAGGCCAAAAGCAAGGCAAGTCACATGACTAAGGCCAGAGTTAGTGTGCAAGAAATAGATATAAGGAAACATGAAAAACTGGGGCCGTTACTGCAGTCAGTCCACCACAAGCACATACTCTGTGCTAGGCTCTCTTTTAGACCTTGTGTTTCTCTGCAGATGTTACTTGCCAGTGAATTTGCTTCCAACTGGTTGGGTGCCCTGTGGTGATAATGAGCAAATTTTTCTGAGCAGCCTAGACCTATAAAGCTCATTTCTGTTTTGGGTGTTCATTTTTATTTGCATGTCTATTGAAATGACACATCATTTGGAAGGCTGAAGAAATTTAAGAATTACTTGTTTAGTGATTTATCCAAGTCATGACATTAAACTCCTTTATATACTCCTGTCACCTGTACTTTTGACAATCATGGTGTCCACAAGGAAAACCACCTTGTAGAGGTTTAAAAACATGTATTTTTTAAAGATCAGTTATATTTAACCTTTCCTACTTAGCATTTCATGAGCTTTTGGATTTGAAGTTTTCTTGAGACCCTGTCAACTCCAGTATGCTGACATGTTCTTTGCATCTTTGAGATTATGGTAGATCCTCACTTCGGCACCCCTAAAGTTTTGATCTATTCTTGAGTAAGATGAGTAGGGGAGGGAGCTGTTATATGGGGACACATTGGGTGTGGTATTGGTAAGCAGATCAAAAGAGGCTCCATAGGAGTGAATACGAACCCTCAGTGACCTCCAAAAGTGAGAAGGCTCTCTTTCAAAAGTGAGATGGTAGACTTTTGAAAGACTTAAGAATTGACTAGCTAAGACTTCAAGATAGGCTGACTTAAGAGATGAAGAAACTATTAAGTTAATGCTATAACTCATTGTGTGTATGTCCTAAGCCCTGTCAGGCAAATCAGCAGTAGTTAAAGCAGTAAAAAGGTAGAGTTATATATAGTAAATTTAGGAATCATTCATCAAAGAGGGAGATATGATCAGTCTATTAAATCATGATAGGTATAACAATTAATTCATCAAATGCTGGTATACTGGAATGGAGGAACATTCTTTTAAACCTTAAAATGGGTAAAGAGGTAAGATGGTATTTATTAACCCTAAAATGTTAGTGGTTAATGGTAATTTTCACATGATGCTGCCATGTGAAAATATAGAAGATTTTTAGTTCAACAAATTCAGGTAAACTTCTGCATGAAAGGTCTATTAATGAACATCAAGAGAAATAAGAGATGCTTAGAGAACATCTCTGAACTCTGGATGTGGCATCAAGGGAAGCAACTGTGCCTTTTTCCTTTTTCTTCAGGTGTTGGGAGACTTTCTCTGTAAAGGACCAGAGAGCAAATATTTTAGGCTTGCAGATAATTCACTCTCTGTCTGTTCAACTTTGCCATGGAAGTGTGCTTAGTGTGAGGTAGTCATATAAAATATATAAATGAGCCAGCATGCATCCATAGTCCCAGGTATTTGGGAGGCAGTAGGATGGAGGCCAGCCTGAGCAACATAGCAAAACCCTATGTCTTAAAATTGTGTTCTTAATTTAAAAACGTTTATAAATGAAAAAATAATTAAAATTAGATTTAAGAAGTATGTAAATGAATGAGCATGTCTGTGTTCCAATAAAAATTTTATTTACAAAAACAGGTGGCAGGCAAGATTTGGCTTGTATGTCATAGTTTGCCAGCCCCAGATTGTAAGTAAAAGCTATTGCCCATAAGTATTTATCCCTTCTAGGCCTTGGCCTCTGGCTTCTGTCAAATAAGGAAGTTGGACTAGATGATTTCTGACATTTTGCATGTTTTATCTCCTTTAGCAGTACCTCTCTGAAGCTGATCCACAGTGACATTTATTTGTAAGGTCAATTTTTCAAACATCCAGGTTGAACAAATGTGAGAGTCTCTAGAGCAGGCTTTATCAGTCTTAGCACCATTGGCATTTTGGTCTGGATAATCCTGTGAGGGAGGGAGACTGTCCTGTGCAGTGTAGGATGTTTAGCAGTATCCCTGACCTCTATTCCCCAGATGCCAGTAGCACTCCCTCCCCTTCAGAGTTGTGACAACCAAAATGTCTCCAGGCACTGCCAAATGTATCATGGGAAGCAAAATTACCCCTGGTTGAAAACCACTTCTCTGGAGACTTTAAAAATAACTGGAAAAATATCAAATACTAGAAAATCAGGCCATGTAACCCAAGACAGCCACCAAGGTATCAAACGTATTTATTCAGGTACAAGGTCAAAAAAGCCAAACCAAAAGGAACAAACATCTTAGTAGAAAGAAAAGAGGATTGAGAATTGCATTCATCCAATCAAAGAGGGCTAGAAAGTCAGTAGCTGACTACTTTTTAATATTGATTTAGATCATTTTATAAGTGTTCCTGAATCCAGTGAATCCATTTAAATAGAGGGCTATCTATAATGGATAGCTGAGAAGTCACGCTAAAACGAGGAAATATGGATGAAGAGAGATATAAACAAGATCGTTGTTAACACTAAGAATATTTACTTTTGCACTACTGTTATATTGCTTGATATATAGCAGAGGGGTCTCTAGCAGAAAAAATTCATACTGGGTAAATTCAGGAACCCTTGTCTATGAGGCCCAGGGTTTTCTGTTTTATTTTGTTTTGCTTTAAATTGTTAAATCAAGTATAGTTTATTCCTACAATGGAATATTATTTAGGGGAGAAAATGAATGAATACAGCTTCACACAGCTACATAGAGGGATCTTTGAAGCTAGATTTTAAATGCCAGTAGCTGATCCTTTAACAAATCCCTGTCACCTAGCCAGCTTGCAATTTGGCTGCAATTAAAAGCCAAATTGTTGAATCATCTCGATTCAACATAAGGGTGTGCTTGATTTCCTTCTGCCTGTTATTTATACCAATATTATTTCTTTTAGGAAGCCATTATCTTCCCATTGTCATTGTTATTAATCATAGCTGACAAGCCCTAAATATCCAAATGGCTTTGTATAAGTTTTTCATTTTTGTTTTGTTTTGGGTTTTGTTTTATTTTCTTTACATTGACTTTAATATAGGGTGTTGTTTTCTGAACAATAATCTAAGCACTCTAGAGACACTAATTATAGTCTCAAACTCTGCTTTTGACTGGCTCTGTTACCTGGGGTGGGTCTCTTTCCCCTGCTGAGAAAATAGTTTCTTCATCTGTAAAATGATAGATTCCCAAACTCTGGTCCTAGGATGGCTATCTAAAAACCATATTTGAGCCGGGCATGGTGGCTCATGTCTGTAATCCCAGCACTTTGGGAGGCCAAAGTCAGTGGATCACCTGAGGTCAGGAGTTTGAGACTAGCCTGGCCAACATGGTGAAACCCTGTTTCTACTAAAAATACAAAAATTAGCTGGGCACGATGGTAGGTGCCTGTAATCCCAGCTACTTGGGAGGCTGAGGCAGGAGGTTTGCTTGAACCCGGGAGATAGAGGTTGCGATGAGCCAAGACCTCACCATTGCACTCCAGCCTGGGCAACAAAAGTGAAACTCTGTCTCAAAAAAAAAAAAACAACACACATTTGAAGTCTTGTTTAAAATTTAGATTTCTGTGCCTCACCCCAAGATTCTGAATCTGTAGTCTAGGGTAAGGTCTAGAAAACTCAGGTGATTCCAGTGTACAGCCATGTTTGAGAACAAGTAGAGATAATCTCTAAAGTCCTTTCAAATATAAACTGCAGTAGTTACATGAAATATGTATTTCCCTAGATGTCATTTATTATTTTCTGGAAAGTTTTTTATATACAGCAAGAATTAATTAAGATTAATACATTGTAGGCCGGGCGCGGTGGCTCACGCCTGTAATCCCAGCACTGTGGGAGGCCGAGGCGGGTGGATCACGAGGTCAAGAGATCGAGACCATCCTGGTCAACACGGTGAAACCCCGTCTCTACTAAAAATACAAAAAATCAGCTGGGCCTGGTGGCGCATGCCTGTAATCCCAG